GCGGCGATGAGGAGGAGGAGGCAGGAAGGCAGTGGGCCCAGGGAGGGGCCGATCTGGCCTGAACGCACCCGTTCAGCTCACCCGCCCGCCCTCGACAGCGCACGGTCCACGGGGCACACACGGTCCGAGGGCCCCTCCCTGCCGGTCCCCGTGCGCATGCCCGCTCCTGATACCCTCCGGGGGAGGCCCCGGACAGCCGGCCGAGTATGGGCTCCTGGGAACTGACCCATGTATGTGTCTCTTCTCTCTCTCTCTGCTCCACCCGTGCGCTGTGGTCTGCAGGTGGCCATTGCAGGTGCCCCAGTCACGGTCTGGATGGCCTACGACACAGGGTACACGGAACGCTACATGGATGTCCCGGAGAACAACCAGCTTGGCTACGAGGCTGGTTCCGTGGCCCTGCACGTGGAGAAGCTCCCCAACGAGTAAGGCCCGCCCCGCCCCGGAAGTGCGGCCTCGCCAAGGCCCCCACCTCTGCACCCCGCTCCTGCCGCTTCCTCCTCCTCTCTGCTCGAGCCTCGAATCCGCTCTCGCAGCCCTGTCTCCTCTCTGCTCCTCGTAGGAAGTGGGCACCTGGGTGCCCTGGGGGGGATGCCCTGGCCCTGCCCTCGGAAAGATGGAAGGAAGGTTCTAGATTTGCACCATTGCCCACGAAGCCACCATTCCCCCCGCCAGCATGTGGCCGGCTGTGGGTCCATGAGTTGGTCTTGAACATAAACAGTCTCCGTCTTGTGGGTTTTGACACTGCGGTTCAGGACCCAGGTCCACATGGTTGTGATACCTGCGTCCATCGGAGCGGCCCAAGTGTCCCGTGTCACACCATCAGCATTGGCAGCTGATTTCCTGAAAGCTGTTGCCATTTTGTGCTGCGGCTCTGTCCGAATGTGTGCCCGGGTCCCATGCCTTCATGCTGGGGTTCCCGTCACAGTCTGGGCCCCTCTTCCAGCGAGGCTGCTCTCTTTGGTCTGGAGTGTGGTCCTGGGGACACCAGCGTGCAGGCAAGCTTGGAACCTGTCCATCCAGTTCAGTAGCCACCGGCCATAAGCAGCCACTTACATTTAAGTTCACATTCACTCACATTCACTGACGTAACAAACCCATCGAGACATGCAGAGTGGTGGCTGTCGGGATAGGCGTGACTGCTGATGGGCATGGAGTTTTGCTTTGGGTGATGGAATGTTCTAGAACTAGACAAAGGTGATGTTTGCACAGCCTTGTGAATGCACCAAATGCCCTTGAACCATTCACTTTAAAATGAGAGAGTTTTAGGCTATGTAAATTTTATCTCAATAAGTTATTTTTAAAATCAAAATTTTAAAGACAGTTTCTTGGCCACCACCATCTGTTGCTGCCATCCTCGCTGCCCTGGGGCTAGGGACTCGGAGACTAACTGCCTCGGGGCGGGAGAAGAGGGACCCCCTCAGACCCTCGCCCACCTTGTCTTCCAGGCCCAACCGCCTGCTCATCCTGCACGGCTTCCTGGATGAGAACGTGCACTTTTTCCACACAAACTTCCTCGTCTCCCAGCTCATCCGAGCAGGAAAACCTTACCAGCTCCAGGTGGGTGGCTCCCAGACGCTTCCGGACCCCTCCCAGGACTGGCAGGGCGGGCAGTGGCAGTCAGGGCGGCATTACTTCCACTGTGCTTGCCACCTCTCCTGGGGCGTCTGTGGTCACCCTGCGCTGCCCGCCTCCATCCCTGCTCTGGACTCCCCGAGTCCTGATGTTTATTTGTCCTTTATTCAGCAATCACACGTTGGTCGCTCCCAGTCCCTGCTGCTGGGAGCACCGGGGGATGCGGGGGCGACGCAGCCAGACCCACCGCAGATCGGGGCCTGGTAGAGAGAGGCCAGCAGCACCAAAATTATCGCACAGGTTTTATTTTAAACCAGGAAGCTTGTTTGGAGGAACCGTCCAGGGTGCTGAAAGAATCTAGGTGTGATGTTACCTTGACTGGGGTAGCAGAGATGAATTTACTGAGAAGGTGATGTTTAAGGATGCCAAAGAGGGAGCAGGGGTCAGCCAGGCCAGGAGGGTGTGTGTGTGTGTGTGTGTGTGTGTGTGTGTGTGGACAGCAGATACGAGAAACTAGTTGGAGGGAACAGCTCTGGGACAGGAGGCCAGGGTGGTTGGTGAGGTGAGCTAAAGAGAAGTTGGGACCAGGACAGGGCCGGCTGGCTGGGGCCTCAGGAGAGGGGTGGGGCGGGGGCAGGGCTTCAGCAGTAAGGGGCGGGGCCTTGGTGAGGGCTTCGCTTTTGCGTTCAGGGGTTAGGTCTTGGGTGAGGCCCAGAGTCTTGACTGGATTTCATTCTAAGGATGAGACATGTCCAGGTCTGGGAGCAGGACTGACTGCTCTGCTTGCCATGTGACCAGCATCCCACTGGCCGCTCTAAAGACAAGGGCCCATGGGACATAAGCTATAGTCAGTTACACTGGCAAGAAAGGAATTGACAGTGGGGAGCGAGAGACCTAGTGGGTTCTGGAGTTATTCTGGAGGCAAGAGGGAGAGTTTATCATATGCTCCCACCATGACGTCCTTCTGCTTCCCAGATGCTTCCATGTGACCAGCATCCCACTGCCCCCACCCTTCCACGCCACCTCTCGAGGCCGTCGTAACTTAGGGTCACAGGGCAGGAGGCACAGGCTTCAGGCACCTGTGGCTGGGCACTCATTTGTCAGATGTGGCAGGCAGGAGGAAGGCAGCGCTCCCGTGGGGGTGAAGAGCTGTCGGAGCGCCCCTTGGCAGCCCGCCCAACCGCACACGCAAACAGGCTGGAGGCAGCCGCAGATCAGGGCAGAAGCCGGGTGGGACCAGGATGGACCCTCGAGTGTCCATCTGGGCCTGAAATCCTGAGCTGGGTAGCTGGGAACGGCACATTCTCCTACGTGGCCGTAGGTGGCAGGTCTGTTAACCTTGGGCCTTGTTCCCTCATCTGTGAAAGGGGCATGGTGACCCCTGCCTCCCAGTGGGGCCGAGTGGGGCCGTGAGGGCCAAACGAGTTTTTTCAGGAAAGACATTTAGCATGCGGGGCGGGCCCAGCGTCCTGGAAACTGACAGGTCGGGAACCTCCGTTGGGGATGGGAGCAGGGCTCTGAAGGAAGTGGATGGCGCCCGCCTTGTGGTTCAGACACCCTGAAATAGTTGGACTGGGAGGCTGGTGGCCCCAGTTTGTTCATGTATATAACATGCCAGGCACTGGGCTGAAGGCTCGGAGCACAGACCCTCTCTCTGCTCTCACAGCCCAGGAGGAGGAAGAAGTAGCCAGATGGTCAGCAGCCAAGGTGGCGTGAAAGGGTGGGGGCAGTGGGGTCTGTCCCGGGCAGTGCCGGTGCCCCAGGTGGGGAGAGAACACAGGAGCAGCAGGGCCTAGGAGGCCAGGTGCCGATGTCCGGGGGCTGGGGCGGCACAGGCCTCAGGGGAGCCTCCCTGGGCAGGAAAGGGGAGACAAGTGACTCGGGCAGGGTCCCTTGGTGCTACCAGCCCTGCCTTCTCTGTCCACCCAGATCTACCCCAACGAGAGACACAGCATCCGCTGCCCCGAGTCCGGTGAGCACTATGAAGTCACGCTGCTGCACTTTCTACAGGAGCACCTCTGAGGGCCCACGCTGCTGCGGCCGCAAGTTTAGAGCACAAGTGGCTTTGCTGCCGCCGCCGCCGCCAGGGGGACCAGGTGGGAAGGACCGAGTGGCCCCGCGGGGCCCCCTCGAGGTGCCGTCTCCGCTGCCCCCACTGGACGGCCCCACCCCAGGCCTGAGAGCCGCTGCCTTCGGCCCCGACGCCTTTTATCATTTTTTGAAATGCTCCTGGCTCTCCGCCTGCTGCTTCTCGGTTGCCAGGACAGGGCGACGAGGCTGACACCCACGAGGCACTTCCCAAAGCCATCCCCTCCTTGCCATTGTCAGGAGCCGAGGGCCCAAGCTCTGCTGGGCCCTGGAGAGGTGGGGTCCGCCTCCGCCCGGACGGCTGCCGCGCCCAGCACAGAAGCATGCCATCCTCCTCACCTGCCCACCTCCTGTTTGTGTTTTGTTTTGGGGACGTTTTTCCTAACTTAAAAGACAAAGCAACGGGTGCCTAAATCTAGAGTTGGAGTGTACCACTGGGCAGTGGGGTTCGGCCCAGCCAGCACCCGGTGAGCCCCACCTCCTCGGCAGCCAGGGCGGGAAGTCGTGGCCGGTGTACGAGGGCGATGCGCGTGCTGCGCCTGCCTCTGCCCGGCTCTAAGGCTCTGAACGCGTCCCGCTCCGGTCCCCGCTGGCCGGCAGCTGCCGCCCACTCCCCGGCCCTCCAGCCACCTGCCTCTGCCTGGCCCGCAATGGCCGGTTCCAGGGCTGGGAGGGGAGCCGTCCCCACCTCAGGATTATCCTCCCCCTTCCTTTCCTTCCCCGCCAACTTCTGCCAGGGGCACGCAGAAAGAAAAAAAAAAAAGAAAAAAACCCCACCAGAAACAAACACCTCTACGTATTATGGAAAGAAAATATTTTTGTCAATTCTTATTCTTTTATAATTACGTGTGTGAGAAGCAGGCTCATTAAAAGATTCCAGATGGACGCTCGCCGCCCTCCCGAGGCTCCTTCTAGGCCCCGGGCCGGGGCTGGGCCTTTCTGAGGGGCGGGGGCCGGGTGGTGACTGGGCCAGAGGCCGGGTGGTCTTGGCAGTCAGCCCAGGATGCCCTGGCTCAAAAGGGGGGTGCTGTGCCCTGGCCGGAAGGTGGCCCACCCCTCCTCAGAGTTGTCCAGCGAGGACGGTCCCAGCGGTCCTGATGCATCACGTCGGTACCCAGCATAGCACGTGGCGGGTGGCCTGGCAGGCCCCCCAGGCTTTCCCAGAGCGGCAGCCCAACCTGAGGAGCAGCACCCTGATTGACATGCTCGTCCAGTGGCTTGGCTCTGGTTTGGGGGTCAGGAAACGCCCTCTATGTTTGTCCTGATAGCCGAGAGACCTAGGGGACAGCGTAGATGGCATTCATGGTACTGGAGTTTCTAACAGCAGGATGGCCTCGCTGAGCACGATCACCCTCTCCCTCCTTTGGAAGCCCCAGTTTTATTTGTAATGGCTTAAAAAAGTAAACTTCAGAACAGAAGGGTAAAGAAGACAGAGGCCTTCTCTCCTGAGAGGCAGCCCCTCCTCAGTCTCTGTTTAAAACCTGCATTCTGTTCGGCATGGCGAAGGTGCCATAATTGATTTCACTAGGCACCTTTCAAGGGACAAGACAGGTTATTCTGGCTTTTTGTATAAATAGGGTCAGCAGGCTTTTTCTGTAAAGGGCCAGATAGTCTGTTGGAGCTACTCAACTCTGACCTCATAGATCAAAAACAGCCACCAAGAATGATATGTAAATAAGTGGGCGTGGCTGTGTGCCAATAAAACTTTATTTACAAAACCAGGCAGCTGGCCGGATTTGACCCACAAGCTATATATATAATTGGACAACCCCTGGTATAAATGATACTGAAACCAATGCCTTGTGCAAACTCTTTTGGGTATATGTTTGAGGTTTTGGGGTAAATTTCTAGAATTATCAAAAAGCATATTTAGTTTTAATTTTGAAGAATATTCCCAAACTGCCTTCCAAAAAGAAGGCCTTGATGTCCACTTTGCCAAGAGAGGGCAAGTGTGCCCTTCGCTCCTTCCCCAGTACTGTGTGATTTTTCTCTTCGCCAATCTTAGAGGTGAAACGTGGCTTCTCACTGTTACTTGAACTTAACATTTCTTTTATATGTGGGGATATTTTTACGTTTAGTGACACTCGTTTACTACCTGTCATTTGCCCACCTTTCTTTTGATCTGTTGGCCTCACTGATTTGTAGGCACTTTTTGTACATGAAGGAAATCAGTCCCTTGTCATACATGTTGCAAATCGAACCATGTCGCTCGTTTCAAAATGTTTGAGTAAGAAGCTCAGCCACTGAATGTTTAAAATCATCTCGGGAACAAGACGTCTTTCACTTAATCCACTGTGAAGCGAAGTAGAGAAGGAACTAGTCAGAAATCACAGAATGATAGAAACCGGTGAGAAAGGGGGTGCTAGGGTCACCCCAGGAGACTTGGCAACTGGCAGCCCTCAATCACCTCAAAGCAGAGGCTGTATCGGGACGCTCCGCTGCCTCACTCAGGGCGCGCCGGAGGGCCTCGAGACAGCTTCCATTAGCCAAACTTCAGGGAGTCGCATTTCCACCCTGAAGGTGAGGTCCGGGAAGGAAAGTGGGAAACCCACAGGAAGCGGGGATCAGTGGTGAGCGCCTACAAAAGGACACGTGTCTGCTGACAGAAGGTCTTAGTCTCCCGGAGGTGGCTGGTTAGAGATGTCTTTACCAGGTTGATACATGGCCACGTGTTTTCTCCACCACTGGTGAGGGTGGGGGCAGGGTGCATCAACAAAAGGGTCCCCAGTGCTGTGTCAGGTGTCCTGTGCACGTGCTTGATTCTTTTCCTGGTGGAGGTGCTCATCTCTTCCCTAACTGGCAAGGATCCATGTGGGATTGACATAAAACCCTGTGTCATATCTGTTGCAGATATTTTCCTGGTTTGTCATTGGCCTTTCAAACATGGTTATGGTATTCTTTTAAAAAATAGACACATAGGAAGTTACAAAAATTGTACAGTCCCATGTACCCTTCACCTGGCTTACATCTTACCTACCCACAGTACATTGTCAGCCAGGAAACTGACAGTACAGTCCAAATAACTACACTCCAAATCTTATTCACATTTTATCAGCTTTCACCTGTGCTCATTTCTGTGTGGGGTGTGTCTGTGTGTGTGTTTCTGTACTGCTTTGTCACCTGTACAGATTCCTGTAACCACTACCGCAATCAAAATGTGAACTGTTTGCTCACTGCCACAGAGCTCCCTCCTGATGTCCCTTTACACTCACATCCCCCGCATCTATGGTGTCCTGACCGTAGAAGTCTGATGTTCGTGTCATCGGTCGTTTCCATTAGGACACTAGATATCATGTGATGATTAGAAAGCAGGATCTTTGGAATGATGTTTTTTCTTTGTCCCTTCAGTGTGAGAGTGTGTGTTTTGGTGGGGGGGGGGAGGCGAAAAAGGAAAAAAATAAGTTTGGGGAGTCTTTTCTTTGTCCCTTCAGTGTGAGAGTGTGTGTTTTGGGGGGGGCAAAAAAGGAAAAAAAGCTTGGGGAGTCTTTCTGAAAAGAAAACACACACACACACACACACACACACACACACACCCTCTTCAGAAGAAGACTCAAACAGCTCACAAGTGAAATTTAGTATCTTGTTAGTGACAGCTCTTGGCCGGATTTGAATCCTTCATAGTGACCGACTGAAGGTCAGATACAGCGGTCAGAATAGGAAAGACATGGGTGGAACCATGCTGTGTAAAACACCAAAGTAGGACAGTGGTCATCCAATTTATGGAACCGATTTCTAATGGATCCAGAGCAGCCAGTCGCAATGAGAAAAATTTTTAACACAAGCAGGTATCCTACCTCATTCAGGACAGGCTGTTGCCGCTGAAAAAAAAAATTCTGGAGTTAGGGTTTTCTGTAGAACAGACAGCCGTGCAGGCGCTCCTGGCTTCCCTGAAACCTTTATCTTCTGTGTCAGGGGTCGAGAGATTTGAATTCCTCAAAAAGTGGGATACAGCCCAGCTTAGGGGTTCCCTGTGACATTTTCTCTGTTCTTTCAAGTCAGGAAGGATTGAGAAAAGCAGCTTAATTCTGTACACTCCAGACCTGGCCATTGGTGTTTTCTTGAAATTCTAAGCAATTTGTGATCCCCCAAAACCTGGGATTTCTTCATTGGCATCCCATGCAGGTAACAACTAGGATTTAGAATTCTTCCATGCACCCCCTCAGTTAACCTCCTGATAAGCCCTTGAGGTAAGAATTATTTTTTGGTTTCGTACTGTGAAATAATTTTAGGCTCACGGAAAAGCTACAGATGTAGAATTCCCTAATGTCCCTTGTCCAGATTCTCTTAATGTTAACGTCTTGTGCAACCCTGGTAAAATCCTGGTTATTGAAGCCAGAGAGTTCACGTCAACACGATCCTAGTTTCTGCATATACAGGCCTTATTTCCATTTCAGCTTCTCCCTGTAATGTCATTTTTCTGGTCCAGGGCTGTTATGAACTGAATATTTGTGTCCCCTCAAATTCATGTTGAAACCTAACCCCAAATGTGACGGTCTTGTGGGAGTGGGGCTTAGGGAGGTGAGTAGGTCATGAGGGTGGAACCTCCATGAACAGGATCTGTTCCTCACAAAAGACCCTAGGGAGCTCCTTCCCCCTTCCACCATGTGAGGACACAGGTAGAAAAGAGCGGTCTATGAACCAGGAAAGCGGCTCTCAACAGACACGGAATCTGCTACAGGTGTAGAATTCCCTAATGTCCTTGTCCAGATTCTCCTAATGTTAACGTCATGTGTCACTTTAGCCCCCAGTCTATGGTACTGTTGTTAGAGCGTTTAGAAGTAAGACGAGGATCTGATCCAGGACCCGACGTTTGTTTAGTTGTCTTGGTCTCATTCTGTGATGGCTCCTTGGCCTTGGTCTTTCATGACATTTTGAAGAGTACTGCCAGCTATCTTGTGAAACGTCCCTCAACTTGTGTTTGTCTGCTGTTTGCTTACAGTTGGATTGAGGTTGAGCTTTTTGGGCAGGAATTCCAGCGGTGCCACGGACAAGGGACCCTCAGTGCCTGCGGTGGGCGGCTTGGCGGCTTCA